ATCAAATGGCATGTCGTACTTATTAGTTAGGGACGGTGTATCAAAAGTCACAACATCACCGTACTCCTTATATGCTTGCCTACTCCTATTATCTGCCCAGAAAACATTCTTTAACCGCAACTCCTCATCCAAATCCATACTAAAGTAAAAGCCCGAGCACCGTGCTTGCATTTTCGAAAAGTATGATTGTATTGCTGCGGCGTCTCCTTCTCCAAGTCTTAAACGCCTAACTTGTTCAACATAGTTTCGACAATCCTTTTCAATGCAAGTCATCTTCTCATACCCACCAGCTTCAACGACAGCAGAGTTGTAACTTTTGTGCAACGGAATTCCTGCGATGTCATTTACTTCAAGCCGCCGTTTGACATGTGCACTCAATTCTCGGTTGCATCGATATAGCCTTGACTTCGAAGGACTTGTTTTGTGATTGTGCTCGAGGTGTACTGTGTTAATTCTCCATATTCCGCGAATATTTGAAGATGCGGTGATCCTAGCTTTACATCCACTTTGAATGGTTGGTTGCGGCTTCAAAAACTGCTTCTTATTCTGTTCCCTTCATGACTACAAACAAATGTAATATATCTCAATATTCCATCATCGTCTTTTTTCGAGTTTCTTTTTCTAATCGGGAAGCCTATGTCGTACGCATATCTTTTGTAAAATTCAAACATTTCATTTTCATCATCAAACTTCATATCCACCTCGGCACCTTCGTAACATCTCCTCCTAACATATCGTCGCCCATTAAGTCCATATTTTCAATAGCATTCTCGTTATCGGATTCCACCAAAATAATGTCATCCATATATTTCGAAATTTCTTTCCCTACAATGGAAGAATCAATTATAATGTAAAACTCCACATAACAACGAAATCATTTATAACACGATAATAGCACATTAAAATAATGTTGTACATATTTCAGACAGCCAGGGTAGCAGGCTTGGCCTATGAAGTAATTTATCATATCTAATGACTCGTGTTTTCTTTGGTTAGTAGGTTTGGCCACTCGTACAAAAATGTATAGACGAAGAGGAAGCCAAGTAGAATGATACGACCTACACAACAGAGCCCATATCCACAGCCAAAAAATTTAACAACTCATAAGCCAACCCAAATGATACGACTTCAACAATAGAGGCGAAGCTTAGCCCATATCCACCGCCAAAAAATTAAACAACTCATAACAAGGAAAAAAATAAAAAAATGCATTCGAATACCCTTTTCTGTCATCTTAAAGATGCTTCTGCTTAGCTGAAATTGTGTGTGCTTCTTTGATTTAAGATGTCCGAAGTATCGTCCTCCCCGTTCTTCGTCGGAGACCGGAGTATTTCTAGCGTGAATATGGATTCCAGCTGGCGTTCAGTGATGAAGAAGCGGCACGAAATTTGTTTACTGAAGTGGGTTTGCCCGCTTCTTCATTGAACTTCTGATTTTTGATGGGCTTGACCCGGTTTCATCTTATAACCCGTCTTCATTTTAGATGGGTTTGCCCACTTCTTGTCTTCATTTTCAATTTTCAGATTTTCCCTCCATTTCCAGCTCATTCTGTCAAACCCAGTGTCAACCACTATGGTGAAATAGCATTTTTCTTACACACATACACGCACGCATTCAGAGATAGGAGGGCGGCTGTAATTTTTTTTTTTTTTTGGAAAAAGTTGGCCGCTTTTGGAACTTTTAACAGTAAAGAAGAAAGTTATACACAGGGACAAAACTAGAAACTGAAATAGAAAGATGAAGAAGGACGGCAGCAACTAGCGAAAAAAATTCCAAATTTTTGTACAATAATTGTACAAGAAATTTAAGAATTAATTACGTTCCGTCAATTTATTGATGATGTTTTTCCACTTTTATTTGTTGAATTCCTGCATTATGTTGGCTGAAGTAATTTTGTGACAGGATTTTTGATGAACCTTGTATCATGAACTTTTAACTTACTTTATTTCTTTTTCGACATTCAAAGCACGTTTTCAGTTATTGAATGATTGACATGTATTTATTTTTCTCTACAATTACTTAATCAATAGTTGTATGAATATTGTGGCTTGTTTTACCCTCGAAAGATGGAAAAATAAGTTAGATATAGCATGAATTGTCTAGAGTTCGATAGGAGATAGAAATATACCGCTATCTTTAAGTATTCACAAATTCATAATGCATTCTTGTATGTTCTCATCTGTCATAGAAATATAGTCAAGTCACATGCGCTAATGAGTTTAATTCTACTCGAGAAAGATTGTTAAACAAATTAGGAATATTGATCTTCATAATTGAATCGTGCTTTCAAATTGATAAGTTGTGGGGTTAAAAGGGATTAATACAAGGGGATTTGAAATCTTAGTGCGCTTTCATCATCATATTTTTATAAAACTTGCATTGAATTATAATCTTGCACTTATTTTAGTTAAGTCAAGTCTTGCATTAATAAGTAGATTATTTAATTTATAAGAAAAATCACAAATTTCAATTATGTCGATTAAGCCATTAAGGCTAAGTTGATTCAAACTTGAACTAGTACAATATCTGTGGGAATGATATTTAGACTCAAAATCCGTTTTACTACTTGTTAACGAACCGTGCATTTACGTTATTTCAAACGAAACAAATATTTTCGTGACATTAGCCATCTGCTTGATTGCCCCATCTGCAAAGAGGGAAGTTCTTGTGTCCGAAATTGTCCAGAAGCCTAGTGCATATCCTGGTGAGAAAGGCTTGAGGAGGGGCAACTAGATTACAAAGAATGGTGGTACATTTCTATCCCGACTTACACTATTAAGGGTAGTTTACCATATTATGCTTCTTAACTTGTAAAAGCTAAATCAGAATGATATCATCTTGACATAAAATGACACATATTAATCCTTATAGAACGATACTTTCAGTATATGAGCATATACAACAAAATGGTATTATTCGTTTATCAATATTATTGTATTAGACCTTTTTCAGACTTTTTTAAATTCCAACAAAGTGGTCCAAAAATGGTTGTTATAACCTACTTAGCATTAAAGATAGAGTCTTATGTTTGGAACTTTGATTAATCATAATAAGAAATTGTTTCTAGTTTAAGAAAATTATTTGAATCTAGAGATAAAGCCTACGCACAATTTCATGATGAAGGGTGGGGAGTTGACAAGTAAGTCCCTTAATTCACATATTTCTAGTACAATTGACAATAATTGCTCAATCAATAAATTTTATCAAACAGTGAGTTATTTGAGCTTCTTGCTTTATCTGGGATGCTTGTGGATTTCAACTGGACTGAAATCTTAAAAAGAAGACAACTTCTAAGGTCAGATTTTCTACATGTACTTCAAAATATGTTGACGTCAGAATTTGCTGAGAGATGCACAATTCTTGTGTTAGTTCTAGCAGACTACGATGTGAACAAAATCTGCTTATTTTACAAAAATGATAGCTTAATCCGACTCGCTATCTTGGATAATGACACAAAGAAGCTTTTGCTGGTTTTGATCCCAATCAAGTGGCCAAAATGGGGGAGAAAGAGATTATGGACATGACATCCAACGAAGAACTTAATAACGACTATATTTTCAATTTTAATTGGATTTTAATATTTGTCAAACGAGCACTTAATAGAAAGCAGAGTTAAGTGGTACATAATAGACAATGCAAAATGCATAAACAATGCAAGTTTTTTCCCCCTCCTATTGTGTTTATATATATACATCTTGAGCCTAATCATCCCTGTCATACAACTTATAATTTTTGTGGGTCATGTTGAGTTATCTCTAGTTTAAACTGATTCTAGATTGTATATGCACTATCCCTTAGTATAAAATCGTCATCCCTTGTCCCGGTACAGTGGCGGATTTACCATGGTGGCAGTGAATAAATTTCAAATATGTTATTTTGCCCAAGGTTTTTCAAAGATTTTCAAAAAAGTTCTCACAATTTTTAAATTTTGCCCCTACAATTAAAATTTTATGAAATTTTCGCAATTTAATCCCTGAACTTTCTTGCAATGCTTTTCGATCATTTTCACTTGTAATCTCGTTCCTTTCTCTTCTAATCGCATCCAATTGAACCCGTAGTGTCTTTGGTCTTTACATTGTGGTCCGACTCAACTATTGGAATGTTACATTTTAGTACCCATAATTTGGATTTCGACATTTTTCTCTACTTTTCCTTTGTTTCTTCTGTTTTTTCATCAAATCATTGAGTTTTACATATTAAACACAATATACAACTAATTAGGTGATATTTCATCAAAAAAACTAAAAAATGTTACTATTTAAGGTCTTGAATAAGTGTATAAAATATACTTATCATGTACGTAAATTCGAATTTTTTTTAATTCCCCCAAAAATTATTATTTAAAACATTGTTTTGACCAAATAATGGTCATCAAACAGAGACATAATCTTAATTGCCCCTGAGCATAGAGTAGGATTCACAAACTAGTCACAAGATTGAGATTTGTTGTTGTACGAAGGCAAAAAAATCTTGGTTTACATACTTGATGACAGCTTTGATAATCTTACTCGTTTAATTAAATTAAATTATTTTATTTATAGAAAAAAGGGCAGTTAAGAAAACAAGTTTTGGTCCAACCTCGATGATGCAACTGCCCTACTAAAGTGATACATTCATTCCCATAAGGTACGGCAAGTTAGAATTACTATGTATCGAAAGTAAAAAAAAACCACCCCACTTCCTTAATATAATACACTTGTTAAATTCCCAACTAAATCGTGCACGTATTGTTTTATTTTTTCCAAGTAAAAATACGCTCAAAATTTGTGAAAAAAATATTGGAAATCTAAAATCCCTTTGACTGCATTGAAAACAAAAGAAAAAGAGCACAAATTGTAACGAGAAGTTAGGGTTTATGTTGGATAAGTGTCGGCCATAATTAACCTAGAAAACAGACAACATTCCTCATTTCCATCCCTAATTTACAATAATATGTAAAATCCTTGTTTCTCTCTGTCCAAAATTTTGATATAAAATCGTGTTCGATTTATATCCATGTTTTATGGAGCAACAGGGCCTTGCTTGTTATGAATGGGACGACGTCGTCTAACCAGCGAATAATCCATTGTAAAGTATTCGGATTTGGCCCCTTCGACCCATTCTCTCCACGTCCCTTTTGCTGCATGCATCAGATTTTCATTTTCAGGGTGTAGCCTGTTACCTGGACATGTTACATATTCTATACTATCAGAAGAATTAATCAATAAATAAATAAATAAAAAGTACATCATGATCAAGAATTTCTTGAAATAGACTGCTGTTGGTGTTTGTACTTGTATATAATATGCCTTCTAGTCTCTAGATTGCATAGCAGAGTATTAATCTAATTAATAAGTGTTTAATTTGTGGGATAATTTCACTTTTTTTAAAGTAAAAGCATTCCTTTTGCAGTGGTTAAAGCTTTTAACTGATTTTTTCCATAACTTGTCAAAGCAACTATTTTCAATAATTTAAGCTTATATCATTGTTCAGCATTCTAATTTTTGGTTGAAAATTATTATACTGTTACTGCAGAAAAATAGTAAGGCCTCGAATGATTTAACAAGAAAAAATATTAATAGAATAATTGTTTTTCCCTGTACTTAGTTATAACACTAATCTATCAGTAATACATTATTAATTCTTTAATTATTTTTTTTTTCCCAAAATCTTCTCTAATCTTCATCATTATCACGTTAAATCCCACAGTTGTTTTCCAATAAAAACAATTCTCATGCAATAAGTTCTAGCACAATTATATATAATATACTGAGTTTGTGATATAATTATTCAAATTTTGCAAGTTTTAAACATGAAAATGAACACGTGATGATGTATAAAAATGTCTTTTAGTTACAGATTAAGCATAGATGAGAGTGAAATAAGATTGCTCAGCATGTTGTATACATACCTGATGAAGAATCCATCGGCTTCGGGCGAGACACAAAATCTTTGCCTGCAGCATTCTTCACCTGTTTATCGTGCGAGGAAGATAAAGTTTAGCAGAAAATAATAAAGCTGCAAATAATTAGAGTACGAGAAAAACAACATACTTCGAGATTGAATTTCCTTGGCAGTGAAGGGAGAGCAAACTGGGCATGATTAACTGTACATTCAAGAAGGCCAAAATATTAAAACTAAGGGACGAGACAACTGGTGCACAACATAGGGCAGACTGGCTGACCGAACCCCAAAGTCGAAGTACGAGCAATTACCTCGTGGAAGAGATTTTTGCAGCTGTTCTTGATCAGAAACACAGGATGCCAACATAAAAGAAAGACATAAACAAAATGCAGCAATGATAATTAACAATCCCATCACAGAAATTACATATAGAGCATTAAAATTAAAGTTTTTCACACTTTTACTTAGCTTGTGAAACTTTGAATTTATAGCAACGGAATGAAGAGAAAAAGGGAAAAGACGCAGAAAGAAAACATACACAAAGCACAAAATTCAGAGTTCCAAAACTAGTACACAGAAATTAATATTTTTATAGTTGCCTTTTTAGGAACTTTCACACCATTTGAGTTGATTTTTGTCACCTACCATGATAGGATTACAGGCCATGGTTTTCTGACATATGTATCTGTGTTCAAAGGTCAAGCTACCCGAATTGCATAGTTAGTTATAGTATGACAAAAGCTGAATTGATTCATTCGACGTGGTATGATACTACAAGTTGGAACTATTTTGTTTAAAAGTTCAAGTTATAAGGGAATCATACTGATTAAACTAATTAATCGTGCGTTAATTTATTATAAGTTAGTCAAATTTTATTTTTATCTAAATATTTCGTACGTTGTCCTCTATGTACCCACTCATTATATATATATTTTAGAACAAAAATATAATAATCTAATGAAAGGTTTTCCGAACATGCGCTCAGGTCATAAAAGCTAAGTTCTAATCTGGGGTGAGCATAGTGTATTTCTTATTTTCAGTCAAATGAAGCTTGTCAACTGGGTACACGTCATACCGGCATACCCCCGCGGCCTTTATCTAAATTCATATAAATCTGCACTTAACTGAGACAATCACATAATTTACAAAATCATTTTAGTGCGATTTCTTGAAAAGTTGCTTTTTTGAGAATGTGTAGTTAACAAGTGTTGAATAATTATGGGGTTTTAGGGAAAAATATGTATACAATTTGTTAGATTCAAATTTCTAAACTAAAAAAAGTTTAGTTCTTTGATCCTTGCGCTTGATAGTCTAGTTGAATGTAAGAACAAATCAATTCCCAACCATTTGAACTGGTTCAAAGAATTGATTGACCCTTGAGCATGGATTGAAGCTAGCTAGGATATCGTCGCCAGTTGTAGGATAAGGATTTCCAACTACAACTTGTATCGAAAGAAATTCGAAGGTCACTGTCACTCATGTAGCGGCAAGAGCCTGATGCTGCAGCAAACCCTCTCTTTACTCAATCGACGTCACTTATTCTCTTTCAATCAACATTGAAGTGTTCTTGCTAGGAATAGAGACAGATTCAATAGATGGAGTTTATTCTCGCCAACTGGTATGAGACATCGAAAAGTGTTTTTTAGGCAAAGAAATAAATAATATTCTTTTATATCCCCACTTGCTAAGAGAGTGGCTGGAGGACAGATATAAGAACACAGATGAGAGGTTTTTAATAGCCAATGAAACTTAACACTGATAAACTATTTCCATGATAAATAGCTATAAGTAAAAATAATACAAAAATTGTCGACATGGCTTTATATTAACATTAAAGCGCAGTTTCATGAACCTAATACATAATGCAAACCAAGCCTAAGAAATATCTCTACATATACACTTGGCAGCAGCACTCAATCTCTAAATTAGGATTTGGTGATGTATATCTGAACCATGAACCTATTAATGACTAGAAGCCTTTAGAATCTACAGCAAAGAAGACCAGATCTCCAACTCTTGCGCCTCCAAAAATGTCTCCTGTCGGCTTTTGCCATTCGCACAGGACTGCTATTCCATTCAGATTGTAATCTGTAAAACGAGAAAAAAAAAAGAAAAAAGAAAAAAAGGAAAAAGAAAGAACGATTAGCAAATAGCTAAAAATCCCAACTTAGGAAGAATCAATATCTTAGACGAAGTTAAAGTTTACACTGGGAAGGCAAAGGATCGAGAGCTGGCTGCACTGGTATCAGATCGAAGAGAGACGCTCCCAGAATAAGCCATTGGCCCTGAGATAGTGATAAGGCCTGCATTGGAGAAGCTCAACTCTCCTTCATCACATCGGACCAAGTTTGTGACCGGAACACTGCCAGATTTCTCGACCTCATCCTTAAAAACATCATATGTCTGAACGGCTTCTTCGTTAACATTTCCAGTAGTTTTGTCCTGGATGCTAGCTTCCTGGACTTGACCATCTGAGGAATTAGAGTTCGTGTCTTGGAGGTCATTGGATTGTTCACCATTTGCATTGATTTCGAACTTATTGCTAGTGCACTGAACCAGGGTAGCTTCGAAAAGATTGTCGGAATTTAGAAACTCAAGATGATATTCATCCTCTGACTCGACGGATTGTGCATGGACATTTTCAGCACATCCATCCATACTGCGAGATGCCCCAGATTTGGGTGAGTTGAAGTTAAAAGTAATACTTCCACAGTCCACTTTACTATTGTATAATAAGTTGCCAGCTTGGACATTCTTATCTGGTTCTGTATTTGTCGATAACGCAGTTTGACTTCCAGAAATTGCATCTCCATGAGGAATCTGCAAAGCAAACAATTATAATTCAAGTAACTTCAACGACAAAAAAAGCATCTCCAGCATGTCTATGTAAACTTTTCAAGTACAAGTTTTTATGTCCTAGTTTATCAGCATAAACATGCATTTAGCAAGTAAACATCACGCGTTCATTTTCAATGGATTCTAAACCATATCGTTTATCAGGAGGCAAGCACACGTGTTTTAAGAAGTTAGTCAATAAGAATATGGGAACACAAACCTGATCAGGTGGTTGTGCAATTTCATTTTCATCACTGTTTAACGAGTTGAGAAAAGATCTAAGGAAACTTCGAGTACCAAAATTCTGCATTGGAAGTTTGGCATCTACAAAAGATTCCATCTTGGCAAATGTACCATCATTTGGTACACAAAAGTTCATCGAGTCCTTCAGATCACATCCCTGAACAGTATCCTTGTCGAAAGAAATTTCCAATGTAGATTTTGGCCCGATGGGCAAAAGTGATTTGTCATAGGTATATTCCTTGGACTCACAATCTTTACCGGGATCATCTTTGGTATTCTCCAAAGACAGAGACTGTAAACAGTCTGGAATGAGAACTTCCATATCATCCTTTTCTTTTGCTGTTGTACAATCATCCTTAATGCTTTCGGTCAAAACTTTGTCCTCTGTGGGCATCCCCTCATCAACGCGTATATCTTTGACAATATTATAATTAGTCTCTTTGTAGCATGCTTCCAACTCGGGCAATTCACACACTGTAATATCTTTATCGGTATATAAATTTGTACCCGACTCCAACATATCTGAAGCAGCAATGGACAGCCGATCAGACTCTCTTGGATCATTACCCTGACCATGTGCAAATCGTTCAACAAACACAGCACCTTCAAGCTTCAGATCATTTCCCAATCTGCCATCGTCCTCTGTATCAGAATCCAATGGATCTGCATCCCACTCACAGTCACTTGGAATTTCATTCCAATCTTCCTTTTTCATAGAATTTAAATTTCCATATTCATTATCCTTTGCAAAAGAATCCACAATTTGAGTGTTCCAAGGTTCATCTCTAGTTTTAGCCTCTAATTCTAAAGGAGCCATCTCCCTTCCATGTCCATTTAAGTGATGCGTATCTTTAGCAGTGAAGGCCAGGGGATTTATCTCCCTCCCAAAACTATTCGAATGATACAAAATTCCATTCTGATTTTCCTTCATCGTCACCTTTGGTTTAGCTGCATCAAAGACACAGTCGTCGCATTCAAATGGTTTAGAATGAACCTTAAACACGAGAGTTGAATGAGAAGACACGGGTTCGTTATCTGCAGGTGGATTTAACTTGTTAATACATATCAAAGCTTGGAAAAGCGACGAAGGAGCTTTAATATTTACTCATTTAAGTACCTTTCAAAGAAACATTTACTCATTTAAGTGATGAGAGATCGTCAAAACATAACGATGTTGATTTATATAATGTGATTTTCAGAATTAGCATGAAAGGAAGCAGTCCTCAGGCAAGTGGCAAGCCATTCTTTTGTGTATTACACTCTTGTTCAATGCATTACAACTTTGACTAACTAATAATCACGCATAATGTGTAAACATCCAAAATGCAATCATCACAGAAAAATACATATATATGATTTTATTAGTATATTTCTCCACCCCAAGAAGCATTGCCGGCTGTTTAAAGCTACTTGCTACAGGTAAGGCTGTAGAGGCAACAATAAAGATTTTGATAACATAGCTTTTCAAAACACATTGCAAAATTTTGGATATATTACCAGGTCTCAGAAGTCACATCCCTTGATATATTTTGGAAAATTCTGAAACAGCCAAGAAGCAAAACATCCACTAACAAAGCATATATGAAAACAGAGTTGAGTGGCCAAACTCTAAAGTTAATGAGCTTGAGAAACAGAAAATTGAAGGAGAGAGGAACGATCACCAAGCGATTATAACAAACCACTCTGATAACTCATAACCCATCAATGTATACTTCTAGACTCTAAAAGTACCATTATTACTAGATATGACGAAAAGCAGAACACTTTCACCTAAAACATAATGAAATTAATGAAAAAAATCTCAATCAATTTGCATAGGAAATTAGATGAAACGTTAAATGTAGAAATCCACCAATCAGGATATACAGTATTAGCCATTTTCATTCTCATGATTAGCAGTCTATACTACAGAAAGCCAGATACCACGAAGCATGATTGTTAAACACAGTAACCACAAAAGCAGAACCTTGACAAGATCACAGCCACCAACAAATGCTTACAAAAGTAATAAAATTGTTAGTAAAAATCATCACCAAGACGAGAAATAAGCAGTAATTTTGCAAAGTCTAGACAATGTACAGTGAATCTTGGAAACAAATAATATTGTATTATTATATTCAAAATTCACATATCAATTCTCACCTTGCAAAACTTTCCAAGTATCATTCACCTTTATTAACTATTTTTATCTTTTTATGGACACTTTGTTTAAGACTTTTCAGGAAAAAGAACTTTTGTGCGAGTAAAAAACAATAGTGTACAAGCTTTGGAATCTTCCCTTTGCTCATATACAAAGAAGAGGACAATACCACTTTTGAAAAATCCCAACCAACCTTTAACAGCTAAAATATACTTCCATTCACTACTTAAAAGTCAAAACCCCAATACAAACCATTTGTTCTGTACCTTCCGTCCTCTAGCTCCCTATCACACTCACCCACATATGAACAAACCTTTTATATAAAATAACTAATCAAGCCTTTTTAAACTCTAATGAATTTCTCCGCAATCTCAGCTACGAAAAGAATTTCAAGAAAATCCCAACAAAAAATGAAAGTAGAAAATAAAAAACTAAAATTAATGTTAAACAAGAACATAAAATAATTTTTCACCTGATTGCTCAACAGCCCAATAGAAACTTTCCTTCATCTCTTCAGAACGAATTATAAAATCCCTTTTCACTACAGAGTTTAGAATGATTATTATCAGATATTTAGTATAAAATATACACATATATGAGTGCATCCATGTAACTCAATAAAACTGCAAAAAAGCTACAAAAAAGTAGATCACTGAAGGCAGATGAACCCTGAGATCTAAATCATCATCCACAAATATACAAAACACAAAAGGGTATACGTATATACGGAAGATAGATACAAAAACTCTTAACTCTGTGTGTGTGAGTCAGAGAGAAAAGGAGATACATGCCTTGGTTTCGTATCTGTTTGTAGCGCTACTTGGTATTAACAGTGAGAGAAAAATGTTAGGGGAGCGTTTCTATTTTTCATGAGAGATTTTTATTACGAAATTCAAGCCGGCTATATAAGGTATGAATATTGAGCCGTTTGATTTGCTCTACAAATGGATACAGATACGTACACCCTCGCCGTCAACCCCACCCCCAAGCGATTTATGGTACACAGAGAGAGAGAGGCATGCCCAAAATCATCTCTCTCCCTCTACGTATGAATCAATGTATATAACTCTCTCTCTCTCTCTCTCTCTCTCTCTCTACACACGTAGACAGGCACTTGTATGTAACGTGATGACTTATGTGTAATGTTCCTGTTTGAGTTATATTAAAATTTTCATTTTCATTCTTTTATTCATTTTTAATCGTACATTTTTCAATAAAATAATATTTTTCATCACGTCAAACTACTATTTTAGAATACATTCTTCCAATATAATGTAACTCAAATACACCATTAGTCCTATTGGTATTATAATTTCAATTTATGTGATGTTAGATAATAAATTAAATAAGATATTGAATTGTAGTTATCATTTAATACAACATTCGCGTTGAGGTTAATTGCCTCAACATGAATTTAAGTGATAATAAGTTTAATTAAATGAATTTTATAATTTCACATATCACTTTTTGACAAAAAGCAATTCATTAATCATTATAAAAGCAAGTTACAGATACAAGGAAGAGTATCCTCCAGCACAATTCTCTCCTCGGAGAGTTTAAGTTCTTCCTTTGCTAAAATGTGAGCAACCATATTCACTTTCCTAGGTACATGACTAACAGACCAAGAATGAAAATATTCAAGTATGCTCCTCGCGTCCTGAATCAATAAACCTGGGTAGTTCCACAAGTCAAAGTCTCCATTCAATCCCTTCACAACGTTAAGCGCATCTCCCTCTACCATGATCGACTGCAGTTCGAGCTGTTTACCAAGTGATACAGCTTCCAATACTCCTAGTGATTCAGCTAAAAAAGCGTTCGGAAATGCACTGCTCTTGGCCATGAGCGAGGCTTTAACTTTTCCAGTCCAGTCTCTCACTACAACCCCTATTCCAACTAGGCATTTGGCTGAGTATTCTAGCAATACTGGTATTACATTCATTATTCATAAATGGACGGGTAGGGACAGTTTAAAAGGCATTAATTATTTTCGGAAAATTAATGTTTCTATTCCTTAATTTTTGTTACTTTCTATTCCAAGGAAAGCAACGTTACTAATCCTACATCGTTTGTCTTTAGCATTATATGAATAGAATTTTTATATGGGTTATGGGATGTGGGAAAGGTCTGACAATGGAATCGATGAATATGAATAGAAGAAAAGACAGAGAAATTATATATATATTTGTTTCTTTGGGATTACAAAATGAAAGTCAACCCCGATATTGGGCCATGAAATAGAAAATAAAATAGTCAAGTATGATTTGGGGTTGGATTCAATGAATTGAATTGATTATAAATGAGAAGTCCACGATTCGACGTGCAACGATGACAATGAACCAAATTATATTTGAGATTATGGAAGCATTCAAAACTTTTTAATATCCGATTTTAATAAAATACAAATCATTTCAGAAAAAAAAAAAAAAAAAACTCCTATTGGGATGTCCTCAACTCAGAGATAAAGCACAATCGTGTAAGTTACGAGTAGAGGTGTTTTGTGGAGTTTGTTTGCATTTTGAACAAAAACAACTCATGACAAACAAATGACACATTCAGATTGAGATGTGGAATACGCTGATTTCTTCTTTCGTCTTTTATTTTTTTGGGTTTTGTCGTAGTTTTGTGGGGGCCACTAATAAATGTAAATATTTTATGTTATTACAACCTTATTTGAAAGTGATCCATTACACTCATTTTTTCTATTATATATATTTTTTTAAAAAGAAATCACTTTTTAAATAATTATTTTCAGTCACACGTATAAAATGGATTTATTTATTGATTGAACACCGTCCTTCGGGATTGTGATTATCTCTGAAATATAATTGCTATAATCCATGAATATTTTGTGAGTTTCATTGAAATTGAGATGAGAGTTATTATTAAATTTTTAAAACTTATAAGAATTTGAATTTATTATATGCCTTTTGTATTGTTTTTAATTAATTTTTTCAATAAAATTACGTGTTATTGTATAGGACAAAGGAGTGTAATAATTTTTTATTGTTATAAATTGTTTTCATCATATCGCACGCTCAACCCTAAAATGCGTAGCATTGATAGTGACAGTGTTGGCCAATGTTTCCAAATTGCAGGTATTTTTCATAACAGGTCAATTATTTGCTGAATAATTTGTGTTTGTATTTTTGATGTCCAATTATACAGCTTTACTTTTTCCTTTTTGTAAGACTCGTGTTTGATAAAACCAACCGATGGATACATCAATATTTTTAAAACTTCGCCCGATTATAGCCCCGAAAAATTAAAGATAGAGAGTCAGAAATATCAACTAGGATCGAATATGTGAAGAAAGTGGCACAATGATTCCGACTCATATGTTGAGGATGAATGATTGACTCGGTTGATTTGTTGACTCTCCAAAAGTTAGTTGATAAAGTTGCTTTAAATTGGCAAAAAGGGTTTTGAAGAATGCGATTTCTTTAGTGGAATGAAAGCTTGAGATGTTGCTAAATGTCAACACCAATGATCGTTTGATTTGCTGACTTTCTGGTGACTTCTATATTTCATTCATTGTCTAGGGTTTGAAGAGGAATTCATTTGTTTTCTTTTCTCTGGCTCTTGAAGTTCTTCGCCTTTTTCTCACTCTAAAGTCTGAAAGTCTTTTGATCTTTTAAACTTTTTTAATGTAATACTTTTCTTGAGTGATCTGTGTATATTAAAAAGTGTTGTGATGTTTTTGAGTGAACGATTGTTGTGGTTGAAAGGCTGATTTTGATGTAATATTATGTCATTATAGTCTGAGTGCCCGGATCTCTATCTTGGACACTTTGGTTCCTTTTTCATGTAGTGGTTTCTTCCAATAACAAAAGCTCAAAAGGGTTTATGGTTTTCTTACCTTAGGGAGAAAATAATATTGAGTTCATTTTATAGTTCAAGTTATTCTTTAAGTTTTCCGTTCATTTTTGTTGATTTAATCGACTACTCATTTGAACGTAGTCATAATAGAATCAGTGGTAAAAAAATGTTTTTTAAATATATTTATTTTATACCATATTTCTTAATTGTTAATTAACTATGAAAGAAATAAATACAGAAAGCTAGACCCTTTAATAAAAATTAATAAATATTTTTGAAAAATTTTTACCCCTAAAGCCGGCCGAACGACACCGGTTTGAGAGGTTCTTAAACTAGCAGAATCGTGGATTTCTTTTGGGGATTTTTAATGGTAGGTTTTTCTTGTTTACTATCCCGGATCCGAGGCTAAGCCTGTTTTTATAACATTGTTTGTAAAATGGAAAAATCCATTTGTACAATTATTAGGGGATTGTAACTTTTACAATCTCTTACATTAGGGTGGAGTCTGCTAATTAATTAATTAGCGAGCCCCACTCTAATGCGAGAGATTTTAAAATTTCAATCTTCTAATGATTGTACACCAAACATTGTTGTTGTAAAATATATATATATTAAAAAAAAAAAAGGAGAAAATGCATTATTTATTTCCAACCTTTAAAAAGGTATAAATTGATCCCAAATCATTTATTACAATTGTAGAATAATTATAATGAATGAAATTATCCAAATATCTGTTATCGCGTGATGTCCAACTTTATGAAGTTGGGTATTGTTTTTCTACTTGAGTTGATGTCTAGAAATTTTAAGTGAAACACATTTTCATTAGGATACGTTACAATTAAATAGTTCTTGTCGTTGTAACCTAATAGTGCTACTATAGTGAAAAATTAAGGAACACTTCGGCTAATTTAAAAGGTACGACAACTTGCTATATGGACAATAGATTTAGAACAAATGTTGCAATTTTCTTCTCTAAAGAAGTTCATATTGTCAATTATATCGCACCATATTGCTTAATATTGCCGATCAAACATGATGTAGGATGTTAGGACACAAAAAATACATAATTATAGGAGTGTAAACATGACTTAGTACTTCGAGAGACCTTTTATTGGATATAGATCTTAGAACATTCTCAAAAGACAAAGATTGACATTTGAACTTGTTCGAGTTTTTAATTTGAACTTTAAAATGTCATTAGCTTCTAAACTTTTAATACTTTGAGTTGTTCTTGTACGTTTGATTTTAGAATATTAATAAAAGAGCTAATAGAGAAGTGGAGTAAGGTGAATGCATCAACATAATATGAGGAAGGCTTGTCCCCATCTTTAATTTGATGAAAGTTGCAGGTAAAGAAACAAACTCGATACATTTAAGGTTCTGTGTGTGAAAATAAAATTTAAATCTCGTCGCTACTTAATTATAAAACTATGCACATGTCAACATTTAATGAAAAAAATGATATGAGTGCACATTGAATATGAATTTTAAATTAATAAATTATTAGTTGAATGACCTCAAAATAGATTAATTTTATAGGACAGATAATTTATTATTTTCTAGATTCTTCACAATTCTAACGAGCATTGAGCGACCCTTGCAAGCATGATGTGACGAAAATGTATGCCTTTTGGTTTCTCCATCGGGCATCTCCATGATTCAACAGTAACAAGCATGTAAATGATGTGCTTCTAATGTGAATTTGACCTTCTAATTTGGGTGCCCTTTCCTCTCAATGTAGTGAAGTTTTACAACACACACACACACACACACACACACACACACACAATGTTTAGTACTCAATATTATTATTATTATTTTCTTATTTAATAATGTTTAATTTACATAATCAAACATGTCAAAGGTCTGAAATGAGATGACTCCATGGAGTGAAATAAATTATAGTTTTTCCTAATTTAATTTTGCTGTTTCCTAGTTCTAATTTAATTTTTTATCCTAGTAAATTATCAGATATCGACTTTTAATTCTAAGGTTAGATAATGTTGACATCCGAATCTAGTTGGGAGCCAACGTGTTAAAAGATTCCGCGTTCGCTCCTCTCCGAACATATATTACATGTGCAATTGGATCACACTCGTTAAACACACAAGATTGAAGCATTTCCAAACACAAAGGGATAAGAGAGGCCATGATCGTACGCGCTTGATAAGGTTAGTTTCTTCACTTGTTTGATACCCTAAATTATGATATTTTATTGTCTTTTGGATAAAATTTCACATAAATTATGTTATATTTTATTTTGTAGGTAAAACTTTATATTTAATGAAAAATTTGAGAAAAGAATGCAAAAGTGGTGAAAAATGACAAAATCCAATGATGAAACCTTAGAGAAAAATATTACATTAAATGAGTTTGAGTTAAATTGGTATCAATAAACTTGCATTGAAAATTTTAATTGGAGGTTCAAATTATATATATATTATAGATGGAGATATAGAGGGGGAATAGAAAAGAAAGGCACACAAAAAAAATAGAAGTCAACGGCTGAGAAAAAAAGACATGCATGGAAGAAGAGAAGACAATTGTGGCAGGAAAGAAAGCAGAAAAGAAGAGAAGTAACAAAAGAAAAGAAACAAATGGAAAGAAAAAAAAAGAGAAAAGAAAGAAGACTGCAGACACCAGAAATTTCACGTTTCGTCAAATTTTGATGATATCTTTCAACTTTTGCGTTTTTTTATTTTTATAGTATGAATAACTCACTTTTATATTATGAAAAATAATGTAGTCGACTTATGATCCTTTATTTTTTTTATTCAAGATTTATGTGATTTATTCTTTTATGTGTCAATTTTATTATGAGTTTAATGTATTAAATTACTTGATCAATAATTTGATAATTATGTGAGTCTCTTACGAATCAAGAGGTATGTTTGATATTTAGACCATACAATAAAATTCGATAAATTAGTATAACGTAT